TATTAATTTCTTTCCATTATTTGGCATTTAGTAAAAGTATGATGACAGTAACATACATATAATTATTTGGAGGGGGAAAAGCTCATAGAAAGGAATCTAAGTATAAGACTAATCATCAGAAAAAAACTCTGGAAAATAATGTTCAAATTTTAAACACTATTTTCTACTATATTATTACAATAATTACCCTATTTTTGGTAAACAGCAAGTCAATCGTAGCATCTGCAATAATATTCATTCGTAGTTCAAAAGCAAGGATCTGTCTTGGTCTCCCAGGCTGTGCAATTTCAGAAACTTTCAGAACTTGGTAATCAGGCGGAAAGAAAAACTTCCATAAACAATCTCTGTAGAAGGAAGTAGAAAGAATATACACATGTCATTCAAACAAAACTGCCTCTGATAAGGGACCAAAATCATTATTCTAACTTTATATTATCATTGCTATCTCATTTGACCACTAGACTATTTTCTTCAATGCTTTACACTTCCAGAAATCCATAGCTTTGAGGGCTTGATACACTACTATAAAATGAAACATAGCTAAGACCTAATTTGTACTATTCAAGTATACTAGGAGAAATTAAAGACTTTCTACAAGAATATCAATTGTCCAAATGGCAAACAAAAGAACTACGGAGGATAGCTTAATTAAAATCAACATTCTACCCTGACAAGTTACTTGACCTTCTGAGGAAACTTGACCTGCTTCCTCTTCTGGAACAGAGGAATAACAGAACTTGTCTCATAGAGTGATTCTGAGGATTAAATGACAGCACACATAGAAAAGATTTAACAGTGTACCACATGGAAGAAGTGGCTATTATTAATATTTCTACTATTTTCATAATCATAACTTTTAATCAATATTGTATTAATAAGAAGTTAAAGAGCAACAGATTTATAAAAAGTAAATAGGTATTTGGAGACTAAGGCTTTAACTTATTTGCTTCCCCTTATCATTTGAAAAAGATGAACAAACCTAAGAAATTTTCAATTCAGTCTTCTACGTGAGCCAACATTAGTACTATATAATGTTACTCATAGATTCAGAGAAGGTTCCAATTTGTGGCTTTTAAACAAGAAGGGCAGAGGAAGGAGTCAGCACTGACAGAAAATGCTTAGAATAAATAAGACTGGGAAAAATTATATGAACAGAAAAAAATTTGCAAACTGAGTCTCACAGACTGTAACTTACTATCATTAAATTAAACTGTATGAAATAAAAATAAAATTCTGCAAATGTTTTGACTATGACATGCAAATATATAAAATTAAGAATATTAAGGACAGAGAATCCAATACGATCATTAGATGATCATGGACTACAAGGGGGGTAGGTAGCAGGATATAACGTAAAGAGCAGTGGACTTGAAGGGCTGATTTGAATCCCAGCTCTTAATGCTACAGCTTCAGTACCTTGCCAAAATTATTGAACCTCTCTGCATCTCCATTTTATCACAAGTATAATGAGTTCACTACACCTATCCAATGTACCTCACTGGGTTAGGAGGATCAAATGAAATAACATAAATGAAAGCACTTTAAGTGAAAGCAATAAAATGGCAGACAACATCAGGAATGTTTGTATTATAATTATCTTCTAAAAATTAAGTTTCATTGTAATACAGTTACTATTTCAACTCTACCATGAAAACTCATAAAAAGAAAATATCAAGAAGGAAAAGCTGAATAATATCTTAAAGATTCAGACAATCACATAAAGTTAGTAGAGCATCAAAATCTATAAGCTAAAATCATGCTGAGATTTTAAAAATCTGTAAGCTAAAAATCTGTAATGCTATGTCAGCAATCAGTAACACCTTACGATGCTGAGTGAACCATCCAATAACAAAACAGCTGAGATTTCTGCCTATATTTCTTATAGGAATAGATGGCTGCTAACAAAACTGACCTTACTACTCATTGCTGATTGCAGTTCGTATCTGTGCAGAAACTCAATATGGGGAAGGAGAAAAGGAAATGACTATATCAGACCATTTGTACATGTAAGTGAGGAGACAAATATTACTTAGTGAAGTAAAAACATTTGAAAAATAAATTTCTTTGCTTTTTTTTTTTAATAAACCTGAGTGGGTTTTTGGAAGTCCAAATTAAGAAATGTATTGCTATTCTCTCCTGGCAGAAGAATCTAAGGAAGGGAGTTGTTAAAGCAAATTTCTGTTTCACATTAACTGCAATGTTGTGTCTCTATATAACACAAAGACTGCTCCCAAAGTAAATATGACTATATAAGAATTTTAGTTTGGGTTTTTGTGTAAATATACCCTAATACTTTTGAAAAATATATTAAAAATTGAATATAGTTTAAGAAGAATTACACTTTATACAAGTGCTAAAAATGTGAAAATACTGGATAGAAAGAGGCAAGATAGCTGACTAGAGACAGCACTTCCCGGACAGTCCTAGCTGGATGGTGGAACTGAGGAGAGATGAGAGCAGTTGGCTGGGCTGTAGATCACCAGGAGAGACAACAGAGGTGTCTGAGGATCCCACCGAGAAGGGCTACGAAGATGAGGAAAAGGAAGAAAGAAAGGAGAGGACAGTGTCCACACAGAACAAATCCAGAGAAGGCCAGGGCCAAGTGAAAGGGTAAGAGTGTTCCCCACCCCCCAATGTGGGTGACTTCGGCAAGCAGCAGGACACAGAGCTCTCACCCAGCCAGAGAGTGCCACCGGGGGCAAGAGAGCCGGCTTTCTTATGCCTGGATGTTTCCCCATCTGCATCTCCGCCATTCCTGGTACCCCAAAAAGCAATTATGGCTTGAGCCAGCTTATAGCCATGGCCCTCCCCGCCTCGGCGACAGCAATCGCGAGAGTATTCAGCACTGAGAGAACTGTTTCTCCCCATGCTGCTGACCCGTAGGATCTTGCCTTGACGGCTTGGTCAGGTGGGCCAGACCCGTGCCCCCCAGACACAAGAGTGGTGCAAGGAAACTGCAGCTCCTTCCCCCAGTAGCAACTGGGTGAGTGCTTGGTGCTGAAAGGCCTGTATCTGCACAGCATGGGATCGCCCATTAGAGGCTTCGACAGTGGGGCTGGACCAGTGCCTCCTAGACAGGAGAGCAGTACGGGGAGACAGACCGTGGCCCCTCCTCACATAGCAACCGTGAGTGCTCTGTGCTGAGAGGCTTGTTTCTCTGAGGCAGGGGCATGTGCCTAGCTATGACTGCCGCTGAGAGCGGAGACCCAGGCCAGTGTGTCAGACATATGGACCGTGAGTTCAAGAGCCGGTTTTGGGCAGCAAGGGAACACGAGCACTCAGACTAATCTGAGGGGAGAGGGCTGTTGAGTTCCAGGGAGCAAATAGGGAGAGAGTTCGCCTCACCCCTGCAGAAAAACTGGGCAAGTGGACAGAGATCAAAAGAGCCTGGCCTGGGGCCTCTGCAATCACACAAATAGGCCCCCTCCCCCAGGGACAGCCCTCCTGATTTGGAGAGATTGCTCTAAACCCCATATCAGTGGCTCCCCCTAGCATCTGGATAAGCAACATCTGAGCCCCACTGAGGCTTAGCAAAGCTCCTCAGGCTTTCATATTCTAGCCGGGATCTGTCTTGCTCCTCCCCCCAGGTCAGCGGGAGTAGGGACCAAGCAACCCCCTGGGAGCTATAGCGTCCTCCTAAAGCTTGGGGCATTTGTGCACACCACCTGGGGAACCAGAGCATACCACAGGCATAAAAGATTACCTCAGCAGCTGGCTCCTTCACGCAAACTATACTCAATGACGGGGGAACAACCGCATAAACATAGTGCCTTCCAACTCAAGCAATTAGGGAGTAGGGGATTCATACCCACAAGTACAATCCACCAGCTTGAAGATTAAGGTGGGGGACCAAACTCACTACATTCCATTGGGAAGAGGTGAAGACAACAGGTCAGAGGTAACCTGAGAGGTTCATCAAACCTGCTAAAACACCCCAAAGGCAACTCAGGACCACCACTCCTCTCTCCAGCACAGTTAGGGATCAAGCTCTGGGGACTTGGAGACAGGGCCACAAGCCAGTCCTAGCACGCTCAGCTCTCGATTAAGAGGACTGATGAGAAGGAATCAGTGAAAGAACTTCAGAAACACGAAAAATAAGAGTGAAAGGCACCCCAAAAAGAAATTGATAACCCTTTACCAATCGATATCAACCTAAAAGAGACAGTTAAAATCACAGATGAAGAATTTCAAATATAGATTGTAAGAAATCTCAGTGAAATACAAGAGAAATAGAAAAACCCAACATGAAGAAGCCACAAAAAGAACGCAGGAAATGAATGAAAAATTTTCTAACGAAATCAAAGAATTAAAGAAAGAAAAATTCATCCGAGGAATTACAAAACACAATGGAAAGCCTTAAAAATAAGCTAGATCAGGCAGAAGAAAGAATCTCAGAGTTTGAAGATAACAACCTATGAGCTAAAGAAATCAAAGAGAAAGAACAGAGAAATAAGAGGAACAAACAAAGCCTACAAGAAACGTGGGATTATGTAAAAAGCCAAACACAAGAATCATAGGCATTCCTAAGGGCGAAGAAAATACACAAAGTTTGGATAATTTATTTGAGGGAATAGTTAAGGAAAATTTCCCTGACCTTGCTAGAAATCTAGATATCCAAGTACAAGAAGCACACAGGACTCCTGGGAGATTCATCCCAAAGAGACAATCACCATGATAAGTAGTCATTAGGCTAGCCAAAGTAAACATGAAAGAGGCACTCCTACAAGCAGTAAGGTGAAAATGGCAAGTAACTTACAAAGGAAAACCGATCAGACTAATTGCAGATTTCTCAATTGAAACCTTACAAGCTAGAAGGGACTAGGGTCCCATCCTCAGTCTTCTAAAATAGAACAATGGCCAGCCTACAATTTTTGTGTATCCCACAAAACTAAGTTTCTCATATAAGGCAAAAATAAAGACTTTCTCATACAAGCAATCACTGAGGGAATTTGCAAAGACCAGATCTGCCCTGCCTGAAGTGAGCAGACCTGCATTATACTCTGATCAACGCAATAGACACCCACCAGTGTAAAATCATCCAAAAGCTAAAGTTCAGAGCCCAGGTACCAGAATGGCTCAAGACATAAAACAAAGCAATAAGGGTTTACCTAACAGGAACAACAGAATGCATCCCACATATCAATTCTTTCGATAAATGTGAATGGCTTGAACTGCCCACTGAAGAGACATAGGCTGGATGAATGGATAAAAAAATACAAGCCAAGTAAGTATCTGTTGTCTCCAGGAAACACATCTAACCCGCAAGGAATCATTTAGACTCAAGGTGAAAGGATGAAAAACAATATTCCAAGCAAATGGAAACCAAAAGGAAGCTGGTGTAGCCATTCTCATATCAGATAATACAGAATTCAAATTAACAAAGGTAAAGACAGACAAAGATGGTCACTATATAATGGTAAAGGGAACAATTCAACAAGAATATTTAATAATTCTAAACATTTATGCACCTAACACAGGAGCACCCAGATTCATAAAGCAAATACTACTCAATGTAAACAAAATGATAAACAGCAGTGCCACAATAGCCAGGGACTGTAACTGGTTCTACGAGCAAGAAAATGTTTTCTCAATAATGTTTTTAGTTTCTTCATATTTCAAATGAGTTTTCAGTGTTCATGTTATGGCTGGGGCTGGCAGCTCTAAGTGGCCCTGGTGACTTAGCAGCTACAGTCTCAAATTAGGGAGAAAATAGAGAACTATCTAGTAAAATTTATTGACCAGAACTTTAGAACTTTCTGTTCTACTGATGCATTCTCTCCTGAGTTTCTTTCCCAGGAATGGTGGAACCTCCTACAAAACCTCACACCACCTATTTGTCTGGAGAAAACAAGATACTCAATACTCCACCACAGACTGTGCCCAAAGACACACTGAAACTGCACACAAAGCTGAAAGAACAACCAATATTAACCCTTAGTTCATTATAATACTAAAATCTCTGCCCTGGGAGGGACTTATCCGCCATTTTTTGATCATGGGACGTATGTACTAGCATGATTTCTCACTGCGCTTGCATGCCCTACACTCCACCCCAAACACACAATGATGCTCACACCCCTCATGCATAATTCATTTCACCTGCAGAAAAACCCCCTGACCATTTGTCGGAGAGGTGGATTTGAGGCAATTCATAAATTCCCCTTCCTTTTGACGCATCCACAGAAATAAATTCTTTCCTCTTTAACAATCCTCGCTGTCTCAGTAATTGGCTTTCTGTGCAGTGGTCAACACAGAACCTCTACTTGCCTCTAGTATAGAACTTCACAACACTCTTGTTTTATTCTCTCCCATTAAAACTGAGCTATTTATGTCTTTTATTTCTGAATTCCCAGAGCCCCAACAATCCCTGGTATATAATAGGGATTGGAAATCTTTGTTGATTAAATGCAAAAACAAAAAGAACCAATAAATATGCTGCTCATTCACCATCTTTTTAATGAATTAGCTCCTCCTTTGGAGCAATCTTGTTCGTAGTTTCTCCACACATAAGTTATTATTTGGATCAAAGTATTTAGTGATATCTTACTCTGCCATACTAGAAGAATTTGTAAAAAACAGTAAGCTAATTTTTAATAAAAGTTATAGTACTATCTCGATGCATTTGAAAGACTTATTAGAAATATAATTTACTCGATTACCTCTGCCTATCGGCCCATGGTCCATAATTAAAATCTGTTCCTTTACCACAAACTATATCCAGTCCCCAACATGGAGGCAAGTCTTGCAATTTACAATCCTCACTGCTTATTTCTCCTTCAATATTTTCTTCTGTTTCTTCTGGAACAAGTCCTGTATTCCAGAACACACAATATAAAGGCAGTTAGTCAACCACTAAGAAGTTTCCTTAGATCAGTAGTTCTAAAATT